ATCCATTTTTTTTATTGTGATAAAATATATGTAACATAATATTTACATAATACAAGATATTATATTACATAAATATTATAACATTTATAATGTAAATTTTCCCAGGGATGAAAGTAGCTTCCCCGAGGAGATCATTTTGTCCTCTAGGAAATGTGGGGTAACCCTTTCTTGATTAGCTGATTGCACCCTGTCTCAGATTCAGCGATGTACTCTTCGGCAGTCCATTCTCTTCATTTCCTTATGCACTGAACACAGCATCATGATAAGGAAACTGAGGGGAGAGAGCTGGGGATGGGCATTCGCTTCTTCATCCAACAAGGAGAGGAACTGTCATCCGCGCTGAGAATGTGGGCTCTGAACATGGACTGTCTGGTGTGAAACCCCACCTTTGATAGCTTGAGCAACTTTCTTTCCCTCTCTGTGCCTCCATGTCTTCAACCCTTACCTGAGCTCATCGCTCCTCGAGTCACTGTGAGGAGTAAATGCAGTAATAACCCCTGCAAAGTCCTGGAAGACCGTCTGGCACACAGGTCATAAGTGGATCAGTCTTGCTGTTATTATTATTTATTGAGTGGCACTTTGGGCCTGGCATACAATAGAGAGTAAAAGGGACCCCCGATGGGCTGACAGTCTGGTGATGGAAACAGATATTAATCACATCATCACACTAATGAATGTGTAATTATAAACGGAGATAAGTGCTAGGAAAAGGCATCATGAACTATTTTTTTTCCACTTGACTTTGTGCCCCGTCAGCTGAGGGAAGCCCCGAGGGACAGCTGCCTTGGGGGAGGGGCCCTCTGGTCTTTGTCCCGTGGGGTCCACACTCTGCACCCTTTTTCCTCCCTGGGGTCTTCGTGGACTTCTCAGAAGTGGGAGAAGGAAATAGAGACAAAGAACTAGAATCAGAAAATACCACGGGATAATTTATCAAAGCATTAACTTGCATCTCTTCACCTTGTATTTTTGGAAGCGAAGGCAAATAGAAGCTACTTTAAATCCACAACGCTTCTTGTCCTTTCTGTATACATTTGAAAACTTTTTTGAACATAATTTCAAACTTACGGAGAAGTTGCAAGAATGTAAATAATGCGTGGAAGACCCACAGGTTCTTTATTCAGCTTCACCTATTGTTGACTTTTTACCTTATATCCAAACGTGTCTTTTTAAAATCCAACAAACATTTATTTTTAGATGGGAAATACCTCATATATGCAAAAGAGTGTATAAAACCCTAACTTCTCGTTTAAAGAATTAAAATAAAAAGCACTCATTCCCTCAGAACCTGGGATAAGAAAAAGAAATAGGATCTTGGAAGCTGCTAGGTCTGATCGTTGCTGGTACCATATCCACAACACCCAACTCTCACAGATAATCAACCTCCAACCTGAATTTTGAAGCAATCATTCCCTTGCTTTTCCTTATAGTTTTGCAAACTACAATTCTATGCTTTTAAAAAAGTGTCGTTACATTTTGTGTATTTTTGAAGTTCGTGTAAATGGAATCTTACCATATGTGTTTTTCTGTGTAATGTTTGTCTTGTTTTTTTTAAGGCGAAGGAAGAGGATTTAAACTTGTGGCCAGATGGCCAAATAAGACCCACAGATGTGTTTTGTTGGCCTTCACAATGTTTACAAAGTTATTTATTTATTTTATTGAGGTAAAATTCACATAACGTAAAATGAACCATTTGAACCATTAACCATTTTCCTTTCTTTCTTTTTCTCTCTCTCTCTTTTTTTTTTTTTTTTTTTTTGCTGAGGAAGATTTGCCCTGAGCTAACATCTGTTGCCAATCTTCCTCTATTTTGTGTGTGAGCTGCTGTCACAGCATGGCCACTGATAGATGAGTGGTGTAGGTCCACACCCAGGAATCGAACCCAGGCTTCCGAAGTGGAGTGCACCAAACTTAACCACGAGGCCACTGGGGCTGGCCCAACCATTAACCATTTTTAAGTGAACACTTCAGTGGCATCTAGTACATTCTCAGTGTTGTGCAACCATCACCTCTATCTAGTTCCAAGACATTTTCTTCATCCCAAAAGGAAATCCCATCCCCATCAAGCAGTTACTCCCGGTCTCCCCCTCCTCCCACCCCCTGACAACCACTCATCTGCTCTCTGTCTCTATGGATTTATCTATTCTGGATGTTTCATATAATTGAAAACAGATGTTCAGACAAATACTTGTACATGAATGTTCCTAGCAGCACACTTCACAATAGCCCAAATGTCCATCAATGGATGAATAGATAAACCAAATGTGGTGTATCCGTAAAATGGAATATTATTCATCCATAGAAAGGAATGAGGTACATGCTACAACATGGATGAACTTCAAAAACAAATTTATTTTTAAGTTAAGTTTCCAATCTTTAAACATCGGAAGATTTTACATCAAAATCTGGGGTTCCAGGTTCTGTTGAAAAATGGAAACTGGCAACATGGTAACCATAATATGGTATTTACACTTGTGGTTTTATTTATTTATGTAAGTACAAATTTACCTGCACATTGGAGGGGATCTCTGATTCCTTAGAATTTTGTTACAGCCCGTTGAACTTTGCACAGCTCTAGTGGAGGCCCAATAATGACTCACACCAAATTTCCCACCAGCCCTACCTGCCTGGGGTAGGGATCATAATAAACACTCTTTTGTACATTGAGTTTTTACTTAAGTGTATATTAAAAATTATTCCATGTCAATGGTGGTAGGTCAGCCTCCAAGATGGCCCCTGTGAGTCTTGCCTCCTGGTATTTATGACTGTGATGGTTAATTTTACATATCAACTTGGCTGGACCATGGTGCCCAGATATTTGGCCAAACATTATTCTGGGTCTTTCTGTGAGGGCATTTCTAGAAGAGATTAACATTTAAAACAGTGTACTTTGGGTAAAGCAGATTACTCTCCATAATGTGGATGGGCTTCATCTAATCAGTTGAAGGAATGAATAGAATAAAAAGACTGGCATCCCTGAGCAAGAGAGAATTCTCCAGCAGACTGCCTTTGGATGTCATCTTCCATATCAGATCTTCCTGGTACAGCAGATTGTTTTCACACTGGAATTGCAGCATTGGCTCTCCTGGTTCTCTAGCCAATTGGTGTTGGACTTGCCAGCCTCCATAATCATGTGAGCCGAATTCTTACAGTAAATCTTTTTCCATATACACTACACATCTTATTGGTTCTGTTTCCCTGGAGAACCCTAACATAACATCCTGTGTAGTCCCTTCTATACTGCATTAGGATTGATCTGTGTCACCAATAGCATATGGCAGACATGATGGTATGTCCCTTCCAAGATTACGTTGTAAAAGACATCATGGGTCTCATCTTGGTTGCTGTTTTTTTTCTCTCTCTCTCAGACTCTGGGGAGAAACATGTCTTGAGCAGCCCTCTGGAGAGGTCCACGTGGTGGGGAAAGGAGGCATCATGCCAACGGCCATGAGAGAGACCTCAGGAGCAGATCCTCCAGCTCCCATCAAGCTTTGGACCCCACAGCCCTGACCAACAGCGTGACTGAAAACTCCTGAGAATCACTGAGCCAGAACCACCCAGCTAAACCCCATTTAAAGTTGTACAAACCAGTC